GAATGGAATCATTTGCGGACACAAAGCGAAGCGGAGAGCACAAGCGATCTCGATATAAAATCGAAAAGCTGCCAGATTGGAAAATAGGACAAACAAACCCAACACGAAGCCGGAGGACTATTAGGAGTTCGGAAAATGTGCAGACGAATCTAATGGGAAATCAGGAAGCTGCAAGATGCAAACGAACCTGATGCAAAATCATCTGATAAAAATCGACGCAATTCGAACGCCAAATTCGTATCGTGTGGATACATTCAACTATGTTATATAGGATTGCGGCTTGAATGTTAGAGTTTAAATAATTATACTCGAATTGATGCAGAAACATAGATATGTGTATTGTAATCAAATGATAGTTACAAATGTGTGTAAGTTGCGAATAAGTGAGTGTGATTATGTGTTACCTTCCTTTTTTCGGCACACGGTTTCGACGCATTGGGACTTTTCTGCTACTAAGGGCAGAATTTAGGTTATCTTGCGGATTCTGCAGGGTCAACATTAATAGAAAGTAAGCTTTAGTCCGATCTCACTATACTAGCTCTTAATGAACGCGATGCGAAACAACCCGGTGACGCTTTTCACAACGTTCTATCCGAGGAGCGTAATTTTTCGAAACGTGGAATTACCAAAATTCAGGTGGGAGTGGATCAAAGAGTTTATTTGACGTATATGGAAAATATAATCCTTTAAAATTTCCAGGGACGATAGCTTCCAGCTGTTCATCAGAATTATTCAAAACTGTTATTCTAGCGTAACCGCAATTGTGTCTCATTGTATAGATAAATGTTTGAAAATAAAGGCGTTTCTGTTTCCGTTTCATAAAATTCAAGAAGTGCAGTAGGAGGCCAGATAATCTCCGTCCGTGACAAGGTTATCAAAAGAAAAATATTTTATTTTCTGTTTCACTTCATGTAAAGTACTATTTTATTTAAATTTGATACCGCTTTATTTGATCTGTAATCCTATTATTTAAAATAGGATTTCAAATATTTATTCTCTACATTTTGCCCAACTCTGACTCTATTCGTATCTACATACAGTCATGTTCGTGCTCGAAGAATGTTAAAAAGAAAATTGTATGTTTCGCCATATACGCAGGTTGCGACAGAGGGAAATTACATCCATTAGCAAATTTTTTATATTAGCTCAATTACGACTAGACCAGCTCATAAATTATGATTACGTAACAGTAAAAGTAACCATCGATAGTACCGGAATATACCATATGCATACGGTATGTATTAATTCGAATGTACTTACCAGATAATTTCAAGTCTTAAGTTACGATACATAAAAGTTCCATGATTTCGAAGAGTAAATTTTATTTGTTAGATCAACTTCTTTTTTAACTTCCTCTTTTTAAATGGAAATTATATTTTTGTCTTCAGATTCTCATTTTACGGGAAAAGAAGGAAATACTTTTATATGGGATATTTTTTATCAGACCATCTTTTGTAGACTTCATCTTAAAAAGATATTTAATTAAAATAAAAATTTATTTCCTTTTTACTATTTCCAAAGTAGAGGATAGAAAATTAAGTGATACAAACCAAACTACTTTAATTTTTCTAGTCACTGTTGGATTATGAAGTAAAATAAATAACAATTCCGCCTTTTTACATTACTTTTTTATTACACAAAGAATCACAATAATTTCTCACAATCTTCATAAAAGATTTTCAAAGTATTCTCCATTTTATGCTAGACGATAGTAGAATATGTTTTTAAGATCAGAAAAATGGAAATCAGAAAAGTGAGAATAGAATTGAAAGGAAATTGATGTTCAAATAACATTGAAGACGCCTAACAAATACAAAATAAATGGGATAATGGAAATATTTACATTTCAACTATTCACATAAACACTGTGTATAGGATATTCATCACAAATTATTATCATAGGTTAACGCCGGACTGAGCAGGAAGAGATAGGCGAAGAAATAATGATAGTTGGGGGAGGGGGGGGGGATTATAACACCAGAACAGGTAACGAGGGAAGTATGTACAGAGTGTAGAAAAAGTAAGTGTAAAAACCACAATAGAGTGATTTTACACCTCTAAATCAGTGAAGATTTGTAAACAAAATTTTGTGCAAAATTGATTTTCAAGGACAATTCTTTTTTATTGCATCGTATTCTTCTCATTACGAAGATGAAAAGTGTCAAAAGAATCATATGTTGCAACTCAACTGTTTCTTTAGAAAAAAACATTGAAATTTTAATTCTTCTGAAATTGAATTTATTCATCACATTTATACATTTATATTCACATTTAATGAGAAAATAGTGTGCTATTTACGAAGCAACAAGAAATTACAGATTACAAATTAATGTACTTTTTGTTTTTTATTGTAATAAAGCATGTATTTTTCTTGACTATAACGCAAATTTTATTTACTTAAACCAAATAATTTGTGGCGTAACAAACAACATATTAGGAAATGTATTCATATTATTCGTTCTGTATGTATGTACTAAATGTATTATTTTGCAAAAATATTTGGACATTTAATTTTCTACAATGATTTTACATAAAAAACACATATATTATATGAATTTTTTAAATGTCAATACCTTCTTGGATAGTCTTTTGTTTTATTACATGTTGTAATCGATTTGGCATGTATGTTATAATTTTGTGTAAATAATTTTGCATGATACACTTACATTCTTCTAATAATATTTGTTTTAATTTTTCCTTTGACATTGTCACGTAGGAGATACAAGAAATCACTAAATTAACTGGTCACCAGTAATTGGTTCGCATCGTAGTTCGAACGTTCACAAATCAGCAAATAAATTCGGAGTTTTAGATATGATAATAAAGTTTATTGAATCCAACAGAATAACGGCTCAAAGTATTATGACAGAGTGTGTACGATTCAGAGTCTTGCAATACAATGTCGCGTGCTGATTTTGGGAGCGTTTTTATATCTTAGGATTTGGACCCTCTGCAGGGGCTGCTGCCGGCCGTAGGTCAGAAGCGCCCACCTTCCCACTGTCATTTGGTCACGGTCTTTTGGACCTACAAGACGTTTCTCTTTTGACACAGGGCCATCCAATTGTCATTTTATGATCCCGTAATTAGTCTCTTCACTCTTCACAATCAATGAAGGTTGGGATTATTAGGAACTACATTATTCGTCTTGTTAATTTGTCATTGCAGATAAGAAGTACAACATGTTTGCAACTTCTACGCTTCAATCTCCTAAGCGAACTACATGAAATTACTATACAGGGTGGTTGGTAATTGGTGGTACAAGCGGAAAGGGGGTGATTCTACGCGAACAAAGAAGTCGAAAATGTAGAATGAAAATTTTTTTTTTTTAATTTTTCCATTCAGGCAACGATCTACGATGAGATCCGTTATAACGAGAAGCGATAAAGTGCACGCGTACCGAGCGAAAATTCAAAGTCGATTTTCTCGAAAACAAAGCCTTAAACGAAAAATTGTTATTCCATATTTTCGACTTCTTTTTTCGCGTAGGATCCCGCTTGTACCACCAGTTACCAACCACCCTGTATATCACGAGCCGCTCCGCCAATTTTTGAATGTAATTTTTGAACTGGTCACCGTGCGCAGAATGCAGACTTGCTCTTCACATGCATCCTCTTTGTTCATGAGATTTGAGGTCAGTGAATCTTTTTCTGTGAAAGGAGGAATTGTTTACAATTCAAGTAAACAAATTACATCCGTTGAACAATTACAACTTCCGATTGAATATGGTTTTTACCGTACAAAATCAACACGTATTTTATGGAGTAACCTGGTGGAAATATCGAGGAGAAAAAGAAAGAAAAAGTAAAGAAAGGAAAATATGGAATATATAGGGTACTTAACCTAACTTGATCGTCTTAAATTTTTCGGTTATTTTTTATGATAGAGAGAAATATCAGAGGAAGAGAATATTAGGTTCGAAAGTGCAAATGTGATGATAGACAAAAAAATTTCTCAAGGTCAACATATTGCACACCGTTGAATTTATTTTCTTATGAGCTATAAAATCGTTGCAATGAAAATATGTAGCTTTTTAAAAATACTTCGATGACCTCGAAATCTCGAAAAAAATGTGACCTTGAGAAATTTTTTTTGCCTATCGCTACACTTGTCCCTTCGAACCGAATATTCTCTTTCTTCAATATTTTTTCCTGTCATAGGAAATAAGACAAATATTTAAAATGATCAAGTTAGGTGAAATACCCTGTACAATAGAAAATCTGATGCATCCACGTGCAATAATAGATCGTACTAAATTTACGTTACATTTCGCAAAATATTCTACCAATTTCCATCGTTAAGGCAATCTAATTGTAAATAGTTTACGTAACATTTTGTTGTCACCTATAACCGTGACTTTTTTCTTTATGCTTTATACCAGTAATATTTCCAACATATGGTATTTCTTATGCCAAAATACAATCTTCGAACATAACGAACGTCTTAAATATCAAATAAACAATAGTATCAAAACATTGTTAATAACATTCTGTGATATATTTATAAAGATTGCTAATTTCTTGATAGGATGTTTATCACAAATTATTAAATTTATATAATTATACTAAAGATAAACCATAGTTAATTTACAGAAATAATAAGCTAATTTACATAATAAATATATTTTAAATAACATCAATTTTAAAAAATAATAAACATAATTTTTGGCCATCGTCTTATTTAATTATTAATAATATCAGTTTCATTTAGTCTATTATTTTATTTCACTATAATAATAACATTCTTCCTCTATTTATCAATCGATTTTATTTATTTCAATAAATATGTTTTATGTCAGATCATGCAAATATGGAAATTAGTATAAATAAACATTAATAAAGAGATAGAAGAGACATATTTGAATTTTCACGATAAGAAATAGAAAGTAAGATAAGATAATGTATACTAGTTTGCAAAAGCAGAAGTACACGTATTTTTAAAATCGAAGATAATAAGATCTACATCATGACAGGCAACTGTGAAATACCTTGCGCATTTGAAATGCATACATTAACTGTTATCGCGACTCGGTTGCTTTATGATAAGAAATTACTATATTTAATATCATGTGTTGCACACTTTATTCTCTGATGCGGTATCTTGAAGCAAATAATGGGAACTGCAGGAAGTGATGAACAGAGTTTGAGTTAGTGTTTTCTGCTCCGATAGTCTCTTTCTTCAATTATTAATTATACTTATTTATAGCATAGCTACGATTACTTAATTAGGTCAACCAAATAGAAATATGTCGTGATACGATCTATCAAGTAAAATAAACTCCTTTATGTCAAACTTACTTTTACTAAAAATTTCTATTTAGTTACTTTTGCTTAGAATTGTTGTCAAAGGGGCATTCAACAAAGCAAACTTACGTTAAAGAACATGATTAATATTTTTTTGAATTGGTTGTGATACGTCCGGTGACTCTTTATGTAACCCAGAATCCATCCCTCGGTCGAGGCGGTCACTAGCTGTGCAAATATAGTTAGGGCCCTTACTTGTCATAAAATATATTTGAGTCGAGATGTTCCTTATGATTATTGCTATTGAAGTGATTGCCGTGACGAATCACTCAAATAGTATCAGTAATTTACAGATCATCCCATCGAATCTCAACGCTTCTCTACTGAGTCCACAGAGAGCCATGAACAAGTCTCTGATCTTAAACTTCTCCCTGAAGTTGCCCGCGCCTCCAGCGAAGTCAGCACACTCTCCAATGTCGAACCAAGTTCCAATCACGGACGCCACGACGCCCAACGTTCCTTCACCAACTATGACACCCAGCACAAGCAAGACGAAAGAAAGACGAGAACGAGAAGCTCGAACGAACTCACAACACGATCAAGGATCTGATATTTCGGAGTCACACTATCTGTATTTCTTTCGGCAGATCAACTATCAGACTACGAAGAAATTTGGAACCCTCCCGAGCAATGAAACCAGGTGGAAACCTGGCCTACCAGGTCCACCGATGAACTCGCCAGGAAGAACGAACCAACGCATTCCTTGCACAGTCCCAGCATGGTAACACCTTCAATGGTCCAAGGTGACACTTGGTCAATTTAGAGCGCAACTGGCGCGTGAAAGCAGAGTCTAGTCGGAACAATCAGTTTTACGCGGAACCAGCGGACGCTATCGCACGCAAAGCGGCGATGATATCAAGAAGACTACGTCGGAACAATCCAGCGCCAGATAAATATCGACACAATGAACCAGAATAGCTACAAACGTTAGCAGCTGTAGATTCTAATCTACTGCATCCAATCGAATCGAAGGAATCTGAACAAACGGCAGGTAAGATGCCTCTGATTTCGTCTTCCGCGGATAATTGGGCCAAGAGACTCTGCTCTAACGAGACGAAGAAAAGTCCACGGGCCAAGCTAGTGCAACCATTAAGGATCATCACCAAGAAAACGCGATTCGGATGGATCAGCGGACGGAACCCTGTCTCCCAATCAACCGTACACATCCTTCACGTCTCCACGACGGATCTTCATATGGATCCCATTTGCTTTTAAGAAATCGACGATGTTCCACGACACTTCCTGGGCTCAGCTATTCAACGACACTACCTGGGCTGAGCTGTTCGACAACAGTACCAGTACCAAGGTGGGTCAACACTTCCTGGGTCGTGGATTTCAACTGGAATTTTCTTGGCAACGACAGGGACGACGACGATCCAGACTACGAGGTAGACAATGTGTCCTCAACGCAACAGCCCTTCGACCGTGTCATCAAGTTCAACCTGGCGACGGCGGCATCATCCGGACGATCACAGTCAGACGGCAACGAGCATCCTGGATCGAGGCTTCAAGCGGCTCACCTTACTACCGAGCCAACCCGATCCAGCGGAATACGGCCAACTATCAATCGACAAGGAGTTGGATGGCAGATCCAATTAATTTTATCTTTATAGAACTTTTGATCGGTACCCTCTGAACAGAGGGAAGATGACCCTTTATGTAACCCAGAATCCATCCCTCAAATTGTTGTAATAATGTCATTTCAATACTTATGAGAATTTATCTGCGTAATTTTTTAATACAATTGTACATATTAGACAATAAACAAACTAGTTGTCATATTCTGTCATAACAAAAAGTAACATTTAAAAAAAGATACAATTAACACCTTGCAGTCAAAAATCAACGCTAGAGGTGGGCTGTATCTATGTATAGCATAATTTGTCTTTAGCCATGCATATTTCATTGTTTTTCCGACCATATTATAAACATTGATATCTAAAAAACTGCTCAAAACCAGTAAAAAGAAAATAGCGTTTCATGTGGTTGGAACAACTCAGAAGGATTTTTTTCTGTACAAAGCCATCAGAAAATTGAATCAATAAAGGAAAGGTTAAAGTTGCAGGATTAGCAGTAAATTGGCTTAAAATGTATTGGATAAAGTTAGAAAGGTCAAAACGCAACATCACAAGATTCAAATATGATTTTAACAAAGATGCAGAGTTCAATGTCATTAATAGCTAAGTTGGTAACAGATAGATCCAGTAGTTCTGGAAAATGTGGACCAACCTGTACAATATCCTACGGCAGAGTAGTAGATTTGTGACAAAAAGAGAGATGTGCTAAACCTGTTGAAATAAATTCCTCCTATTAAACTCAGTTATTAAAAAGATTTCAGCATAAATCATGATGATGAATGCTTGGATAGATCTAACAAAAAGGACACTATTTATCTCGATGATAATAACATTAAAATCTACACACGCTAGTAATAATAGTTTTATGTAATAAAATTTTGTTTAAATATGAATTTGATGGTATTAAGCATTTTCTTTTTATTTTCACTAGCCAAGTCGATTAACTCCCTTAATTATGCGAAAGTTATAATAATATTAACGATTATTCCCAGCATACTATTCATACATTTTGCAGGTCGCTAGATAAAAATTACATTTATAATAATACATTCAACAATGTTTATTTAAGTTTATATTATGTACATAAATATACATTATGTATATTTATATTATGTATTATATACATGTCGGGTTGGCATTAAGTTTAGAGGCGTGTAATAAATCTTCATTCGGACTAGCCATCGTTGTTGTATAATAGAGATTATATTTACTGATATAAATATTGATTTTTACAAAGTTTGACAAATAACCGTGGTGATTAAACACTCGAGATGTTAATGACAATGTTCTTAGGTTCAATAACGAATCCACGGTCAACGGCGTAACTCTTTGTTAAACGTAGAATATATGTTGAAGCACAAAGTAACGTTTGCTGTGACGCTCGGTATAGACGCTCGCGTAAAGACGACGCGAAAGCTCTCCAAGGTGATCGCAAGAATAAAAGACTGATGGGAACTCTCCTCTCCCTACGATCGCGTTTATTCGTTGCATATTGGCCGTGGATACCAACAAAATTGCAGCAGCCGTTGCTAGGCAGACCCGCGTAGAGCTAACATTGCTCCTGCCCGGGGTTTAATTGTTAATACAACGTGTGTCTCACGATATTGGCACTTCTCTGTTAGGTAAAAACGTTCATCCCGTGACCGTGGCTACGTTCAGCGACCAGCTGTGTCACCTCGAGCTCAAGCCCACCGTCACAAATCTCGGGCAAACATAATCGGATTGAATCATAACAAATACCTTTAAGTTTTATTATTTAAGTACAGCTATAATAAATAGTCTAGACTAAAGTATTGGGGATCTTCCCAAAAATTCCAAAAGAAAGGCCCCGATGTCCTTTCATCTCCGACGTACATATTATAGAAGCAATTTTAAAAGACAATAAATATAACCACATCAATTTTGTCTACTTTTTATTTTGCGAAGTTAACCGATTTAACATGTGAGCAGCTCATACGTGCACGAACGCATTTTATGTTCTCGATTACAAGTCTGCAACAAGTCTTCATATTGCAATATACTGAGTTGGCAACTAAGTGATTGCTTGAATATTATAAACTCTAATCTTTCACAAATTTACTACCATTTTTACTTTCATAATATTGTCACTTATTACTAAGGATGAATGCATAATCGATACAGTTTATCTATTTCAAGGTTATTAAAAAAGTGAGAGAATTTCAGCAACAAACCGATTCGTGTAACCGATCGTTTCGTTATAATTTCATACGTGAATGCAATAATTGGCTTAAAGCAGAGATATTTTTAAAAATTGTATAATAAGTAATTCAACGATAATTACTTTTACCAATGATCAAACTAGTTGCGAGTAATTGCTTACGCGGTACATTTTGTTTCCATCGACAGAAAATTTCCTCCTCTTTCGTTAAAGCATACAAATAATAAGCAAAGTATGAATTCGAAAATGATTTTAATTTGTAAACTATCAGAATTATGTTACAAAATCTTGTTATTACGAAATTTGAAGAAAATACACGATTTGAATTTATTTTAATTTTAATTGCTTTAGTTAAAAATGAAAAGTACTCGAGCCTCAAAAAGACAAGTAACAAATGCAAAATGAATTCATTTACGATTTTATTAGTTTTCTGAATTATATTCTCCAGAATAATTTTTAAAATAAATTTTGTTTACCAAAACATTGCCTTTGCTTTAATTAACTATTGAATCGTTCGAGAAAAATAAAATAAATATATTTGGAAGATATATCAATAAACGTATTGTTATTCAAAAATACTATTACTACTTACAATCAGCAAATTTTACGATATCGGTGATTTATAGACCCAAAGATCCGCTGTGCGTAATACCAGCTATAAATCTTTGTCGTTCTATTGTCTACAGTGATAGTTGCACGTATACTAAAATACATACAAAACGTAATTCCATCTTACGTGTACGATAATGTGTTGTAACGTACAAGTCCTTTTTTTTGTTATTTAATTTCTACTTAACAATTTGCCCAGCTTGACATTTGATAAATTTTTCTAACTGAATTGCTAAATAACATGTGGATGGCTAACCCCAGCGGAATACAATCTTCGAGTTTGACTATTTTATTTCTTCAGTGAGGTCAGCGGAGTCTTTTTAGTCTTTTTAACGTACAAGTTGTCTCAGATTTTGCTTGTCAAACGGTAACAGCATATTCTATGAGAAAAAGTAAGAAAGAAATATACTGGGTGGTTGGTAACTGGCGGTACAAGCGGAAAGGGGGTGTTTCTACGCAAAAAAAGAAGTCGAAAATATAGAATAAAAAATTTTCTTTGTATCCGTTTTTTTAATTTTTCCATCGAGACAACGATCTACAGTGAGATCCGTTATAACGAGACGCGATAAAGTGCACGCGTACCGAGCGAAAATTCAAAGTCGATTTTCTCGAAAACAAAGCCTCGAACGAAAAATTTGTATTCTATATTTTCGACTTCTTTTTTCGCGTAGAATCACCACCTTTCCGCTTGTACCACCAGTTACCAACCACCCTGTATAATATATACAAGGTGTATAAAAAGTAAATGTAAAAATCACCTGTGGGTCAGAGGAGATTTGTAAAAAGAAATTTCGTGTAAGATCGATCTTGAACATGATTTTTTATTGCCATGTTTCTACTCATCAGGAGTAACCAAAATCTCAAAGGAACATGAATCGTAAATGACCTCTTCTCCTGGGAAAAAATATTACAGTTTTAATAATGTTTAAACTGGATTTGTTTACAATCCGGCAGTGGAATGGAAGAAAAATAGCATTCTGCAGTCGAATGGAAGAAAAATAGCATTTATAAAAATAGCATTACTGTATTAGGTTGTGCGGAAAGTGTCTTTCTTTTATAAACACGTCTTCTACAACGACGCATCTTTATGAAAACATAAAACCTAATCTGTCAGACGTTGTGATTTTTATCTTGATAAAACAAAATATATCGTACGTACTTCGATAAAATAATATAAAACGGAAAATGTCGTGCATCCATTATTTCCTTCTAAAACGAAAGAAACTTTTCGGACGACCTAATATATCGCATAGCTTCCTTTCCTTTCTTTCTTCTTTTCTTCCTTTTCTCTTTCTGTATATTTAAACATTTAACGTCGCATTTCTACATTTTCACTAAATTTCTTCTCACCATTACGTATTGACTTTTTTATGGTAGCAACTACATTCAGTCAGATGTAGTTATTTAACTAATGTTATCTGTTCAAATTATAACATTGCTATGAGACGAAATACCATCGCGCATAAAATAGACAATATGACGACTCTACCGTGGTATAATTTTACGTAATACATAATAATAAATAATACATAATAATACATAATAATAAATTACGTAATAATAAATTTAGGAAATGTGAGCGTAAGAATCTTCCTATCGATATAGAGAAAAAGTTAGAGCCAATAATATGATTTCCAATAATTCCTCGCCATAAGCTTATGGTGAGTCTTTCAACCATTGCATATGGATTTCTGTAAGCTCAAATCCTGACATTTTGTCGATTGAGGATATTACAACAGAAATTGCTTTTGCTATCCGTAAATAATATACGATTTAAGAAGCGTGGAACGCGTTACAATTTATGCAGCATCCAACGATATAAACTTCGTCGAGAGCATAGTCATTTGGTTAGAGTGCTTGAACACGGCGAATTTTATAATGTATTTTTGTAATTTTAATATTCGTCGTATTGTCATGTGATTTATTTTATATACGTCCAACAGTGGATAACCACAAGTAAAAGCGATAATCAACCTGTTCTTCTTATATTAATATTATATTGTATATTAATAAAAATATATAATATATAATGTTATATATTATATAATATTATATATTATTAATATATAATGTAATACTAATATAAGAAAAACATGTTAATATATAATATAATATAATAGTATATATTAATATATAATATCAATATTAATTCTTGTGTACGAAATTGTTAACATAGACGCTGAGAGTCACTCTTCTGTGTTCCATTCGTTATTCCTATATTCTGATATATTTTACAAACTATTCTGTAATTCCCTGTTATTACGGAAATAGCACGCTACATTCCCATTAAATGTAAATATAAATGGAAACACATTGTGAATGAAGTTTAGGAATCATTGAAACTTTAACACGTTTTTCATGAGATACGGTCATTTGCGATCTATGGTTCCTTTGAGACTTTTGTTCCTAGTGACCATTAGAATACGTTGCATTTAAAAAATCTTGATATTGTAAATCATGCTGAAGGTCAATTTTGTACATACAGTTTTTTACACATCTTCACCGATACAGAGGTATAGAATCGCTCTACGGTGGTTTTTATTCTCACCTTTTATACACCCTGTACACATATATTGTATATCTGTACATAATTTGTTAACAGATTATAGTAAAAATATATAATAACAAAATAACCTTTGAAACGATATTACGTTAAATGAACATTATTTTGAACAATTATTCATTATAGAACAAGGTATTGAGGGTTGATTCTTTGATCCCAAATTATTAAATGTCGAGACACTGGATTTTTTCTTGTGGAAAACTGTGGAAAAAGATTCGCAAAGTATAACATCTGATACACGTCAGAAATATCAAAATGTACGTATACAGGTTTAATACATGATATAATATAAAGTCACATAATATAATATATTTTAATTTCGAATAACAATACCCAGATATGAAAATTTCATAAAACAAAAGAAATATTATAAAATTTTATGAAATGAGAATATTATTTACAATTTATAAAACTCGAAATACGTAATACTTCGAAATGGTTGAATGAACATATTGATAAATATGAAAATTTTACATTACATTACATTGTTCACAATTGTACACAAATGTTCATACTATAAGTCAATCTTCTAGCATTTTAAGTAAATCATAAATAAATTTGACATGATAGTTGCTCAATTATAAAATGAAATGCATATATTTATTATTATAAATTATTTTTACAAGAAAACAGTAATTTTGAAGAAATCATGCTTTTGAAACGTATGATCGATTCTCGTTTGTATCGTCGTCGATTGTGTCGTCGATTTGTATAATAAGAATAATATTTAAAAAATATTGATCATTTATATCGATAAATTACGTATAATTTAAAAACTTATATTCCTATGATACTTAATTTATACGTAATATGTGTTATGAATTATAATAATCACGATTGCATGTATCGCTCTATGTATACGGGGTGGTTGGTAATTGGTGGTACAAGCGGAAAGGGGGTGATTCTACGCGAAAAAAGAAGTCGAAAATATAGAATAAAAATTTTTATTTTTTTATTTTTTTTAATATTTCCATCGAGACAACGATCTCAGTGAGATCCGTTATAACAAGACGTGATAGAGTGCACGTGTACCGAGCGAAAATTCAAAGTCGATTTTCTCGAAAACAAAGCCTCGAACGAAAAATTTTTATTCTGTATCTTCGACTTTTTTTCGCATAGAATCACCCCCTTTCCGCTTGTACCACCAATTACCAACCACCCCGTATACATAGAGCGATACATGCAATCGTATTCAAATATAATAAAATAATTGTGAAATATATGATTATAATTTCAGATACACTGTTATTACCATAAATTATAATAATATAAGAGAACACAGTATATAAATATGCAACATTCAATCTCCATTACTAAATCTGGAACTTAATTAGCGTTCAATCATTTTTGAAACATAATAAGTAGAACGAGCTCTGTTTCTCTTTTCCGTACTATATTTCAGTAATTCAGTATTTACAGTAATATAATATTTTTTATTGAATATCTATAAATTATGAAAATATTATTGTAAGCTAGCGACGTTACTCTAAATTTACTCAATTCTCTACACAAAAGTCCGGTCTAAAATTATGTACTCAAGAAATGGACAGATATCTCGTGGAATGACCGATTTACAGGCATGCTCTATCAATAAATAAATTAACGATCAATAAATAACGAGCGTAGCCAGACACAAGCCTCGTCGAATAACGAGACAAAGAAACGAATAAGCTTGGATTTTAAACGTACGGAACAGAGCGTAACTTTCGTTATCTACTACTTTTGCATGGGTGGAGGTTCGCAGAAAGATTCCTCAGGGTACGCGTGATTATAGCCGAAGAACAATCATGCAGTATACTCCGCGACACTAGCTGATTAACACACACTTAGAGATACACGAAACGTTTAACAAAATCTGTCAAATGACAATATTCCTATGAATAAACATCGTGACGCGAGACTTCCTGTAAAATCAATGGAATTATAGGTATTTTCACAGAAAACGGTATACCTCAACACGATTCCAAGAAACGTTCGACTATCTTTGTATCGTTTCGATATTGATACAAAATAAAGCTTGCTTTTATCAATTAAACGTAGAATAAAGACGTTAATGATCTTTAAGATTTTTCTTTAAGAAACTTTATTCGCGGAAGACATCGCGTGTGCGTAATTTCTTCGTTCGATTTAACTGGCGGAGTATCGTAACCTGTGAGGGAAAGAAATCGACGAAATGGCCAATAGTAAGTAAAATTTTCTTTTAAAAAGGAAAATGCACGATTCCACGCGAAGATTGCTGAGTATCAGTAATTGAAATTGCACATGAATGCAACTGTACTGAAGAGAATGATCATTAACTTCAGTCATATAAATTTGAGATTACAGCTTTTGTAATTAATGTAAATATCTGTTCGATTGAATTTATTATTATTATTTGATTTTATATTAATTTATTACACTAATTATTAAGTTGTTTGACTTTTTAATTAATAACCTATTTTATTGTAGTAATCGGAAAGTAAAATCGCAACGTGGTGGAATCGATGTCATGTTATAAATAAAAAATGATCTACATCTACATTCGTTATATGCAAAGAGCTTTGTGTTTTCAGGTCTACAACATTTTCATTTAATTAGATATATGTATATAATTACAGTGTATTTATGAATATCATGTGTATTCAATTGATACATTATTTTTTGAAATTAGTCACTTTAGGGAAAGAAAGAATATTATAAGTCACATTTATTGCACTTTCTAGGGATAAAAACGAAAGAACATCTTAAACCTATCGATTAAATCTATCGATTGTATCTAGAACTATCTTCTAGTTACTATTTATTGTAACTAGTGCATCTGCATATGGATGGCGAGCGCGAACTCACGTTGTCATTTTCAACATTATTATTTTATATATTCTTTATTTTTTATTCGAGTTGGACAAACTTTCCTATGTTTTCTATTTAATTCATCTTTTTAATCATCAATCAGATTTTTCGATAAGATTCAGATTAAGAGAACATACATACTATTAGGTAATTATAATTTATTATATTTTTGTAGTTCTTGAAAATAATTTCAATAGCTTAAATACAAAATTTTAGACAATGAATCATCTCCTTGATAATCTCGATCAATAAAACCAGCGTCCTTTAGCACAATTCAGTTAATACTGTTAGTGAAATCTGTTAGTGAAATAATACTGTTAGTGAGTTACATGTTATTGGTATTAATAAATTCTTTTGCATAGCAGAAACAGGCGTGGCAATGAAACAAATGAAATCGAAAGTTTCAAAGTAAAAGAATTGCATTGTATGTATATACATGTATATGCAGATACTGTACTTTATTAAAATTTGTATTTCAGTTGATTCAAATTAATTTTAAAATAATAATTATCCAATTCTATTATAAAAAATCAATACTATATTTTATTATACATGAATGTGTTCAAATAACTTAAATGCATTTTAGAAAAAGAACTGATATCATGCCGGGACGTGCTTTGGTATCTTGTTTTCTGCGGTTTCGCTATAAATTATATGCTGCGGATCAACTTGAATCTGACGATAGTAGCGATGGTAATACCTCGTCCAAAGCTGGCAACAAATTCTCAATGTGACATCGAAAATCTACGGTTATACAATAAAACAGACGATAGTAACAACACACTTGAGACTACAATATCTGCTACATCGCACTCGGAGCGAGATACTATTGTACGTATATTTTTATACTTTTTCTGTATAATAATAATTGTAATTGTAATTTCATCATTTTCTGATGATTATTATATATTTCAAAACTCATCTTTTAACATTTTCATGTTCATATACTTAAACAAGCTTTTGTAGTGTCGAATTATTTTCGGTCTGACTTAACATTTTCGAATATTTTAAAAAATATGTTTAAATATTATAAAAATATATTTATATTTATATTTAAATATTATAAAAGCAAGTTTTCATATATTCTTTCATTTGATGTCGTAAAATAAAATAAAATCTTTTAACGTTAAGATAGGACAAATACTTAAATAGTTTACCTTAAAACTTGAAATATTTTGTGTAAAGATGTTTATCACTTTTTAATTGATAAATTGATACCTGTTGATTTTGTGATTTGAAAGTATCATTTGTTCATCTATTTGAAAATAAGTTACTACTATTAATACGTATTAATACGTATATGTAGAAACATATATGTACTTAATCTAAAATTAAGCCATTTTTTATTTAAAGGCATATTAAGAAAACAAATTCGTTTCATTTAAGATTTCATTATTGAAAAATTAATTTCAAAAATCCACAAAGTTATTTTATGAAAATGAACTAATTTTATAACTCATATTTATATAGATAATATAATCCTTTAATTCAATAAATGTAAATTGTGTTGACAAATGTACTAATTTAAGTTAGAAAAATTTACCAAATGTCCAGCTGGACAAATTGTAAAGTACAAATTAAATAATAAAAAATGTACTAATGATATTTCTGGGTTTGAATATTGTTTCAGGACGATGATCGATTTGCATGGACCGAGCATCAGCAAGGTTTAGCTTTGGGAGCTTACTACTGGTTGCATTGGACATCGCAACTTCCCGGAGGGCTTCTAGCAAGACGTTATGGTACAAAACTTGTTTACGGCTTAGGAAATCTCTTAACAGCGATTCTTGGCTTCTTTATTCCGTTTATGACCCATCACCACCTTTATGCTCTTGTGACACTACGGGTTCTCCAAGGCCTGGTCGCGGTAAGTCAACAAAAGCATTAAAACTCGATGAAATAAAAATGGGTAATATTATAATTAAAATAAAATATTTCAGTAATAGTCTAAATTTAATTGTTAGTATTATCTACAAAACTATCGTTGTTGTTCAAACGAAAAATATTCAGACAGTTTTCGATTATTTATTTAGGGTGTTGTATGGCCTTCTATGCATGACATGACCGCCAAATGGATTCCTCAGAATGAGAGAAGCAAATTTGTTAGTTCCTATTTGGGTAAAGTATCTATAATGTCATAATACATATATGCACTTATCTATATGTATATTTAATAATTATATATAATAATTGTACATATTACTATATATGTATATTTCTAACAGACAATTTGCATAAAATATCTGCAATATTTTATTATATTTTAGTGTAACATAATAATTATTATATTATACACATAAATATATTTTAAGTGTTTGATTATGAAATGATAGAAACGTCTGTTATCTACGGTAGAAATGTTTTCTAAGTTTTAACGCTTGTTTTAAAATAATGAAATATCAAAAGGATTTGAGACTTCTGTCAGAAAAAAATGCATTGAACTTAAAACTGACGCACTAAATTTTGTTATCTTGGTAATATAGCAAAAAACACAATTGCAGTGAAAGTTAACTAATTTAATATTATATGTACGTTAAAAGTTAATTGTCTATATACCAGATTCTGATATATAGAATCTAGAATCCTGATTTTTGTTAGCACAAAAATATGTCGATATTTTTCGACCATTTTCCTATTGAAATTTGTCATTCTACATTCTCGATTTTTCCTAACACGAGCAACTATTGTCTTTCAGGTATACTGTGATTTCTTTGTAATCATATAATTCTAGTATTAACTAATTTTAGTTACGAAATCTAAAGTGGTCTTTCTTATGATCATAATTGAGACATTGAGAGGAAAAGTGGACCAAACCACATCTTTCTGAATGTGAGATTAGGGTATTCGTTTATTCTAATAAACTGTATTAATCATACAAAAATGAAGACATTCGTTTCTTCCAAATCAAATCTAGCTACTATAATAAAATCACTTGTTACACTAATTTGTGCTCACATTTATTGTAGACGACAAATTATCAAGTATATTGTGTAGTGGGACTAATCCACCTGTACTCTCAACGTTTTAATTCTTAATTACTCGCATCATAACGACTGAAGTCATTTCTTAAGAGAAAAAACTGCTAATGGTTCCGCCCTACGACAGATTTTTAAATATGTCACTTTTCAGGTAGTTCTGTCGGTGCTGCTATAACTTATCCCCTTTGCGCAGTTGTTAGTAGTACATTCGGTTGGGGCACTGCATTTTATATAACATCATTACTTGGAGTTATTTGGTAAGATCATAGCATAGTAGTCGTCAAATTTGCTTTAACGTCAGCTTCTGATTTTATTGAAAAAGAAAGTTCTTGGACATTTTTAATATTCAAATGTGTAGTGTATAAGAAATTGACTAACTTTTGCTCAAAACATTTTTTTAGTAGATTATCAAAAATGAGTAAAAAATGGTGATTAATCTGAGAGGATAATCTTACAAAAAAAAATATACAACATTCTTTATACTACACTATACTATACTTTATACTATACTGTAATATTCTTTATACTACAAAAAACAGATCTTGACATAAGAAATAATTCCAAGGTACTGTTTCTGGCTATTCCTCATACACGACTCACCTCAGCAACATCCTCGAATATCTGACGAAGAGAAAAAATATATTTTGGAACATCTTGGTAGTTCGATCGACGAAAAACAAACTGTTATACCTTGGAAACATATACTGACATCTGGTCCAGTTTGGGTTACAATCGCAGCTCACTGGAGCGGAGCGTGGGGCTTTCTCACCCTAATGACTCAAGCTCCAACTTACTTTAACTTCATTCACGGATGGAATATCAATGCGGTAAAAACATATCCTCTGAAACCTAATTTCGTAAATAGTTTATTTATTTATTACAATTCTATTAAAATTTTGAATGCTTAAAACGTTTTGTGTCGAATTGAAGCATTCTACAAGTGATAATTTTATAAAGTATGACATAAAATGTAGATTTCATATTTATAGAACTATTACTTTAATTTTCAATAACATAACCACTGTTCCTTTCGATTTTTTGAAAATGAATTCCTTCGCGAAATACGATAATATCAACAAAAATAAATCTTTAAAATGTCCCATTTCTGGAACAAGGCTAGAGGGTAAAATTGAAAATTTCAACTAAACTTCACTACTTTGAGTGCACTCTTCATCAGTATATGAGGTCTAACGTTATCTTATTGAAAATGAACAATTTTTTTTATCAATTCCCTTTAATTCTCTTCGGTAGTCGAAAACAGCAAGTAATTATTTAGTAGTGTGGCTTCATCGCAGATTTCAATAACATTGAAATCTCTACGATAGCATTAACTGCTACACATAAATTTAGTGCAATCTATAACCCATTAATTTTTCACCTTTATCGTGTAGGTTAGGTTATATTAATAGGAATATGGTCACCGTTAAGCGTGTTCGCCTGCGCCAAAATACACGCCACAATGAATATTCGTAAAATAAATTTAAGAAAAGTTTGTCGCAAATATCTTGGAGACTAAAACTGAGCGGCGATTGCATGTATAGAAAAAAGTTGTTGAAAATGATAGCCTTGACAACATGTTTCAAGATCATTGAAATCGGTGAAAAGGCTACATTTCTAAATAATTATCTTGCTATAAATTTCTAAATATAATATTCTTGCTCAATACAACGTATAAGATATAAGTAGTGGTTCTGAGTGAACGATTGAAAGATTCAGTTTCAGAGAAAAAACGAGTCTCTTGATAACATATACAATATGTATTAGGTGATCCGGAAAGTGTCTTTCTTTCGCAAACGTGTTTTTTACAACAGTGCACCTTCGTACAAACGTGAAACCAAGTCTGTGCAACGGCGGGGTGTTTGTCTCAACAGAACAAAATGGATCGGACGTAATTCGACGAAATAATATAAAACGAAAAACATCGTGCGCCTATTGTTTCCTTATAGAACGAAAGAAACTTTTCAGACAACTTAATACATATATAGAGAGGAATCTCTATTACGTATCTTGTGATAGCAAAGCCAAAAAGACAATTATTTGCTATATTTATATATATATATATTGTTATTAATTTTTGTCTGTCAGCTACAAAATGAGATTAATTTGCATAGATTTCTCATTCAGTGACGTATTCAATATTTAGATTACTTAAAAAATAAAATAAACCTCTACTTGTTATTATTTAAACTTGCTCGGCAGTTTACTAATCAATAATGAAAATTTGTTTGCAGACTGGACTTTTGTCTGGAGCGCCGCATATACTAAGAATGATTTTCTCGTATTATTACTCGATCATGAGCGACTGGCTCATACGTACCAACAAAATGAGTTTAACCAACGTTAGAAAACTGGCTTTGTTCGTATGTACTGGTTTGCACGGAATTTTCATCTTGGCTTTGGGCTATAGCGGGTGTCATCCGACGCTCGCGGTGGTCTTCGTGATGGCGGGAACAACTGTAACTGGTGCGATATCCGCTGGTCCCTTGGCCACTTTTGTGGATTTGAGTCCGAATTATGCTAGTATTCTTCTTGGATTTTGCGGAATGATAGTAATAGCCTCTGGATTCATTTCACCAGCAGTAGTTGGTATTTTGACGAACAATAATGTAAGTATGAATATAAAGTAATTTTCTATTTTGCTTTATATGAATATAGGTTAGTCCTTTGCAACAGCATGGATATAATAATCCATGCAGCATTCGAGATTTTATCTCAACTAATCCATACTCAATAAGCTAGTTTCAAAAGTTACCTAACAATTGCACACATGTTTACATTTTCTTTAAACTAAATTCCGACGTAAGAGAATATGATTCATATGAAATTTTAAATCATAAAATTTTAATAATTACTTTTTTATTAATGATCAGATATTACGATGCTTAAATTCTAATACTTTTCAAATATTTAACTAACTTCAATATGGAAAAATATAAACACAAAAAATTGCTAGAGTATATGTCAATATGAACAGTGACAATTCTGTTATAGTCAAAGGTATTTGTGAGCTGAATGGTTTCATTTTCATTTTTTACGCTTTGAGATAAAACATAATGACAAATATAATGATAAGATACATGATAATGCATATTTTGATACATTTTTCATTAACAGGTATATCTTTGCAATTTTTTATCGTTCTTTTTTTATAACATTTAGAATTATATTCATGATCAAGTAATAACATAAATTAAAGTACAACTTCCGTACTAAATTGCGAATTAACATGATTCTCGACAGTTTTATAAAATTGTCAACATCGTAGAGCTCTATTTCTTCCTAAACTGAACAAAACTTGTTCATATATCATTTCTTTTCTATCTTTCAGAAAGCTTTTATCAGAACTTGATATCATATATTGCTTTTATTTTTAAAACATTTCAAATTTATGATTCTTGTTAAAATTAAACTTTCTCGGTTCTTACTTTAATTAACTTAATACATATACATAGTTGTTTCGAAATACGATTATCTTAACCCTTTGCACTGCTATGTGGAGTGTGACTCAACATCAGTTTTTATCTCAGCAGCTCTTTTGTCGAATCCCACTCGACATTCTTTCATGTCCACCTTTTTTTGTGAAACGTACGAAAGAAAAGCAGAATTGGATCCTGGAAATTGTTTCAGGATATATCATACACTAAAAAATTACTTTCGCTTCGAGTGCCGCTTATAGGCGGCGCCCGCGAGATGACCTGTGGGTACGAGCGCCGCTTATAGGCGGCGACCACGCGACGAATCCTGGATTCGGTAGCCCATATATCGGCAATATATCAGTGCCATCTGTAGTCAAAAATATATTTTTCGTTATCGGCAGAACATTTTCTGTTGATTTTATTGATATATTGGATTAGTCACTCCTTAAAAGTTACTCATTGTTGAAACAATATCAAAACGTTTTACGCAATATATTTCAAACATCCAAACGATCGTATACTGTTTCGTGCTAAAAAAATCTGTTAAATCCATTGACAGTGAGACGGTATTTCATACACGGTTCTTACAAGAATTATTGTTATTTAAGACTTAGGAAAACATGTATACAGCAACCACGTATACTGTGTGCATCTCTGGCGCGCGCTACCAGCTGGCGCTGGCTATTTATTTAAATTCTCCAATTTTTTAGTTAAAGTAAATTTCAAATGAAACACTTAAAAGCGCTGGGAACTGCTGGTAACGAAATTGACATAAAATTCGCAGTGCAAAGGGTTAACACTTAGCCAAGCACGCGCGCCACAGCGAGCTATACGTTTCCACCGCGCATTTTTCCAAGTATCATATATCCAAATATTCACTACTTGAAAAACAAAAAAGTCTAGAAATTATTTAAGTGATTAATTATATTTGCGGTAATGATTTTATTTAACGATTCCACATATTGTTTATAGAAAACACCAAATTAAAAGTATGTATTAAAAGTATAAAAAAATATAGGTAAAATTGAAAACATCAAAGATGAGTAAAGATAAATAACACGACTTGAACGTGAAATTAAAAATTCATAATGCAGTTTAATATTTTTTTACAGCGTGGTATCGTTCCATTATAATTTTATTTAGTCATAACTGATAGTGTAACTTTTTAATAAAATTTAACACCGCTAAATTGGTGTATTTTATTATATACTGTACTTTATAAAAGCAGTAAAAGTGGCGCAATCAATTGGGAACAATTCCAGGTAAACAATAACTGATAATAACAACAACAACAAAAAACGAAAAGGCGTCAAAAAGGGAGATCTCCCCGTTCGGTCATGCAGCTATGTTCTTCACAAAGGGGAGATCTTCCTATTCAGTTGGCTAAGTGTTAATTTCCTGTAGGTATAATTGCTTACCTTTAATTATTTCCCTCTTAAACACTCTTTACTTATAGCAAAATGCCTTTGGTTCGTTGAAAATCATCAAATTAAATACAAATTAATATTGTTTCCATACACCAGACTAGAATTTCGTAATTAATTTATTCCAATTCTACAATAGATTTGTAAACGTTTTTTTCTAACGAATTATAATTTATAAAAATAATAAAGTTACTAACATTAAAAAAAGATTCCATTGTATGGAAACTTTTTTGATCCAGTATATATGGATAAATATTTTTAAAAAACGATACTTGCCCAATAGAAATACTATGTAAAAGTATATAAAACTAAAAAATCAATGCTAAATGTAAAATGACATTATTTTGAAAATTAAAACAGTGCTATTCCTTATTATAATATTTATATAACATTTTACAACAAATTACAACATTGTATAAACATTATAATATGGAATAATATAGTAAGAAATAATGTGTAAATTTGTAATTTGAAACTGTTTAAAATTTCGTAAAACATAGCATTATACAAACAGACAGATTTATATTACAGACCAATATATACACATTATATTAAAAAATAACATTATTTGAAATATCGTTTTATCATTTACATTATTTTTTTCAGCAAACTGTATCGCAATGGCGATTAGTTTTCATCATAGCTGCTGTTAATTCTATCGTCGGGACTGTTATATGCTTGATCTTTGGAACATCGAAAGAACAACCATGGAATAAGTATGGTAAGTCAAACAAGCAAAATGCGCAAGAATTGCAGAAATTGACAGTGACGCCATTTATAAAAATCGAAGAGGAAAATCAAAAAAAGGATACGAGCGAGAAAGATGGAATGGTTACGGATGAACAAGAGAAATAAATACACATGTGTCCGAGTTATTTGTAAAATGAAATAAAATACAACATGTGTTAACGACTAACGATAATAACAATAACGTTTACCTCGGTTTTTCGTGATTTGCAGTTGAAGGAATTACCAACTGAAAGAATTCTGATCAGAAGAGAAATTAGAGAAAAAAATGAAAGGGAAACGTATTGTTCAAAATTTCATACCTCTCAATTTTTAGAAGACTGATCAAATGTCGCGTATCATAATAAATTACAGATCATGCTCTAATTTTGAATATCAATGTATTCTAATCAAGAATTTCACATTAATTTCATCGAATTCATAGAAAGATCTAGTGTTTTATGTTTTGCTTAATAAACTTAAATTACTGTGTCTTCCTAATATCTTTACAAGTTGTTAAATGTGAAAAATTATAATAGTCCACATATTTCCACATAAAAATGTTGAACGATTTAGTTTACTAAAACAATTTAACATTAAGTATAAAAATAAATCATTTAAATTAGGTTGATTTTATCGTCTAAACACATCAACTCTGAGTATATGATATATTGCGCGGAAATTGAAATCCTTAATATAAAAAATAGAAAGAAATGTGTAGGAAAAAGAAAGACAAACAGCAATTGTATAAGTTTGTGAGTTTTTGATAGTCTACACAAAAATAAATAGTTTCTTTGTTTCATTAAAATTAAGTAAAATCAAGAAACAGAAATTCTGAAACTATTGCAACTGTTTGCATTCTAATAACAACATGTATGAGCGCGATAAAAATACATGAACTTTCGTTCTGAAGAAAGTCGTCATGAAATACTGAAGATCACTCAAGTGTGACATACCGATTTTGATGAAACTTAGTAGACACATACCATAGCAAAAATATTTGTATAATTTAATTTGTATAATAGAATTTGTATAATATAAAGAAGGTGAAAACAAAGTCAAAGCAGGTGTCAAAGCAGGTATTGAAAACGTATTTTCTAAAGTATGTGGGAATCTATTCAAGACAGAGAACTGATGTCAATAGGCGGTGTGCATTATAGCATCTTTGTATAAATCCAGGTCAATTATGGCAAATGACCACCGTGTGCGCCGCTTACTATAGAATGCAACAATACAGACCACCCTTGGGATGAGAATTTTTATTACACTAGAAGTAATGATATATGTTTATTAAATATTTCTTATTTAGAATAACACTAAATTAAATTGCAAAGTTTTGTTTTCCCGCTGGAAAATATAATTCGTATAAGCAAATTTCGATAATAATTCAAATATATTCGTTGGATAGGGAAAAATCAAAATTTTGATTTATCCATTTTCTGAGTTTAAATGTATACTCGACATAAACACATGTTGACAAGAAATATTAACGAAACAGTAACGACTTTTGACATGTTACTTAAGAAAATAGACCTTTTAAAAATCTGTTGTTTCTCGTTCAAAGATACAAAATTCGTGCATTGTCGTCACTATATTTTTTACTATATTCTGTATCTATAAAATTTTATGAAAATCGGTGCGTTACACTTGAGTAACGTAAAGAGATAGTAAAATGATGTTACAATACTTTAGATAAATAAAGATAATCTGGTTTCAGGTATTTGATTCAGTATTGAAACTAACGTATGACATGAACATACAAGAATTATATGAAAGCAAATAATTAGTAAAAAATTCATCATAAGTATATACAATTTATTATCCGGCTTGTTAATCACTTTCTGTAAATTTTTTGTTATAAGAAATTAAAGATAAAGAAACCACTATAAAGAAAGAAATTAATCTCTTCTTAAAGTTTCGATGCTACCAAACTATTTTAACAAACTATTGAAGATATTTAGATTAATTATAGCGAAATTGGAATTAAGGAGGAAGGAATCTTAATTGGGCATGAATATGTTGATAAACATAAGAACAATGGACCTCTATTTATTGAAACGATTTTTCGGCCATCAAATACCAGAGATCTTATTACATAAAATTGAATTTTACACCACGAAAAATTTTTATTAATCTAAACTGAAAGTAGTTGTCTATAACTTACATAAGAGTTACATAACAATACATGCAGTTTTTGCGACATTGCATTACAGAAAAACATAAATTACACGGTGTGTTTATAAAGTATTTATATTTTAAACTGTTTTTAAAAGATTATTTATCAATCCTAATATGTATTTCTACTATATTAATATGTTAAAACATGCAATAAGATTTAAAGTTGAAATTTCTTCTAATCATTCAACCGATAAAGACAATTTGTTACTGTACAGATTGTATGCAACTAAATATCAAATTTTACTTGATAAACACATCGTGTGTAACACTTTTACGTACAATATTATTGCAGAATTGTCATCAGCATCTTTAAGAAAAAATTAATTGTAGTAAAAAATGCTCGTAATAAACAAAAGTATACGATATTGTTTGGTTCTTTGCTTCCAGAGCTTACTATGTATCTCTATTGAACTTCTTCTAATAAGACTTCAGCGATACGTTCGTTCTTCTGTTTTCCAATTTTACAATACTTCCTTAACGATCTATTTCGTAACAAAATCAAATGCTATGGAACCGATTTATTTTATACTATGGCTCTTTCCACGTATTATCTTACTTCACGCAGAAAAGTCCAGATAGTATCACAGTTTCTCTTCCGCGGTGAAGTAACTTACTATTAGATACAATTTCTTTACTTTTCCCCTGTAGACATTACAATCCTAGCAAAACGCCATTGGCAATGGGTACAACCAGAATATTTGTCGAATAATTCGTAACTTCTGTTCTCTATAGCCAGTGCAATATTACAAAATTTTATTTCGCGAAATTAATGGCATCTAAATACATAAATTCTAATATTTGTATACAGGATGTCTCAGTATTGGTGGTACAATCGACATGGAAATGATTCTACGCGACAAAGCAAATGGAAAATATAGAAAAAGATTTTTTCATATGACGCCTGCTTTCAAAAAAATCGAACTTGAACATATATCAACTATATGTAATCTTGTCTACTTTCAGGCTAGATAGGAACGAATAATCGAAAAGAGGCTACTCTACAGATGAAAATAAGTTAAAAATGTAAAATAATATTTTTTCGGAAAACGCTTCGTTTCCAAGTAAAAATTTGAAAATTAATCTATTACACCTATACCAGGCCAATTCTGACCTGCGCATGTTCAGAATCTATTTTCTTGAAAACTTGGTCTTAAACGAAAAATATTATTCAACATTTTACATTTATCTCTGCACGTAGAATACCCTCCTGCTGACTTACTTACTCCTTACTTATATTCAATCGTTAAATTTTCAAAAACAATTTTCTCGAAAACGAAGCATCAGATGAAAAGAAAATTATCCTATATTTTCCACTTATTATTTTATGTATTGGTTTTATTATCAATATTAGGATACCCTGTATAAGCTCGATATATAGATAATCGAACGTGATACGAACTACATGTAGGTGAACGTTCTATTTTAAAAAAATCAAATTGTAAAATTATCGTTGAGGAAAATGTAAACACCACTATTTTCACCACATATATATATATATATATATATATATATATATATATATATGATTAAGAATTCTGACAAATACATATATATATATATATATACATATATGTATATATATATATATATATATGTATTTGTCAAAATTATTTATTAAAATTACCTAAATAACTTCTAATGGAATCTTGTTAGGTTTAGGTGTTTATTAGATTCAAGTGAATAATTCTTAATCATAAGAGAATGAATTTAATATCAATTCGTTAGAAACAAATTAAAAGTCTAAAAAGTCTAAAGAAGTGACTAATCTTGATAAAAAAAAAATAGAAAACGCAAAAGGAAAAAGCAGTTAACAAAAAGAATCAGGAGCAAGGAAAGAAAAGAAAAAAGAAACATTCGAAAATTTGGAAGACAACTCGACTTATCTTACGCATATATCCATAGCTTTTCCATAATAAATGTATTTACTTAAATTAGAGAAAGATATCAGAGAAACGTATTGTGAAAAGATTTTGGTAATACCCATTTTACCATCTGACCATATCGGGCATTTTTTCGTATTCGAGACAGATAACACCAAAACTGAAATGCCAAGATCTTACTTAAAGACATTCGTGGTTAATGATTTTTTGGCCGGAAGACTACTTGGATTACAAGCTAGAAGCATAGATCTTTCATTTCTGAAGTCTTCAAGCTCGCTTCATCGCACACTATGTACTAAATAAGCATTCACAAGTACATTTGCCAGTTCTTAAACTGGAATCGTATAAACGTTCAGTTTGTGAAGCAATGGCGTGAAATAATGTAGAAAACAATTTCTGTGGCTTAGACATGTTCCTGAACGGACAAAATTGAAATCCATTGCGATTATACGTTCATTATAGATGCTAATAAATTTCTTTGAAATATAAATTAAATGGACGTAGTTATACACTATATATGTATGCGTATGCAGTAGTATTTGCAATTTAAAACATACCTACATATAAATAGACGGAAAACACAATAGTGCGACTAGTGTTGAAAGCGCGTAATACTAACGTAAATATATGTAAATACATAGATATTTTCGAAGCTCGAAGTTGACAACCTCGTCGCTTAAAACACAATATGTAACAAAGTTTTGTTCCTTTCGTACATAATATTTTAGGCCTTACATAGGAATCTGTATTATCAGGTAAATTGAATTTAATGTTTCACCACGTAATAGAATTCACGATTTATATATTATATTATGTATTATATACTAAATATTTGAAATAAAGATATATACCTATACGTATTTGACTATATTTATAATAATACGTACATATATATTTGATAGCTGATACTCTCTATATCTGATAGAATTTTCTTAAAAATGTGCTTCTACGCAACAAGTGATACTTTTCATCGATTAAATTGACCTGAGGCCCCCCCCCCTACCGTTAGAAATTTTTTACGCGTCTTTATCTTTTTCTTCTGTTTGCACGTCCACACGCACATATATTTAAAACAATATAAAATAGCATTTTCGAAAAGAAAGTAAAATTCCCTAGACGTATTTTAACGGTTCGGTGGAACGCACCAAATGTAATTGTTTCAAATGTAACGGATGAACGAATAAATAAATAAATAAATAAATAAATAATGACTTTTGATTAGCGGTCAAGTATCATTGAAAAAACTCGATCAATGTCACTTGTAAAATTTGCAGATTATCACCATGATGGTAGAATTTGAAGGTTTTAATGCTACCAACGATACGTATGTAGGTATATTTAAATGTATATATACTACTTTCCTAAGTTTTTAGATTTATGCTCGAATTGAATATTTCAATGTCACTTAAATATAGAGTTCTCGTATACTACCCTGTGCTTTAGAATCTATAAAGACGTTAAAATGCGAGGAAATTACATTTAAAGTTATTAACAAAGCTTAGATATTATCGAATTCTTTTTAAAACAATTTTCAAGTATTTGAATATCCATATTGGAATTTCAAATAGGCAGTAGAATTCAGTAATGTTGGTCTCTAATGCAGACGACAGCAATATTAATCTAGAAGACAAACGAATAAAACATTCTCGAAAGAAAAATCTTATTTCTTCCCGAATATTATTATACATAATTATTACTGTAGCAATTGCTTCTAATACCAAATAAATTACACTAGTGGTAAACCAAATGCATCGAGATAGAATTGAATAATAACATAAAGATATTCGTTCATCTTCCAGAAAAACCTATCTTATTTCTGCACTACCCAAATATATTGAACACATTGGCACTTTAATTAATGTTAATTAATTGTACAATTTTTAATATATTTGGTGCATATATCATCGCCCAAACGTTTAATCGCACCAAAGAAGTTGGAACAAAACTGAAAGTCAAATCTATCAAATTTAAAATATTTATATTACTTTTATACTCTGTGTTAGAAAAATGCATAATTCATAATAATTCGGTTAATTGATAAAATTTTGTTAAATCTATTAAAAACAGACTTTGGATTATTTATCATAGGCATAATCTACTTTGGCCACGTGATAGGGATAGAATCAAAGAAAATAGATAGAAAAGTACGATTTAAAATAAGGAAAGAATTTATATGTGCTAAATGCAACAATATATTGCACAGAAGCAACAAAGAAAACTATATATAAAAAAATAAAAGTCTTATTTTGTACATACAATGACCGTGAAATCTTTGATTAACGCTATCTAATAATTTTAAAAAACGATATCTTTTAAAATACATACATATATATGCACAAATAGTTACTTCTAAAATATAAATATAATTTAATAATATTGGCTATGTATGTATCGATATCAGATAAACTATCCATCGTAAAAGTGAAAAAGATACATAATATAAAGGAAATTCCACACGTACTTCTTTTGGCTCTAAAATTCATACTCATTTCTAAATAATAATTGTATAAAATGATAATAAAAACATTTAAATATTATATATTGTTTACTTATGAGAATGTATACTGATTTATTATATGTATTAACAATTTGATTTTGTAGGGCTATACAATCAGAATATATGAATATGCAATATCAAGAAGAGGAAACAGTTAAGCTAATTTTAAGAAAATGAAGCACGAACATGTAATCACAACCATTTGTAACAGATTGCTTATCATTTGGAAATATGTAAAGATCATCTATTTCATAAATATACAAAATATGTACATGAAAAATTATGTGTATCTTTAAATATAGTACAAAAAGATAAACTATAAAGCTGTAACAGATTTTAAATATGCTGTAACAACAATAGATACATTTTAACAAACTTTGCAGAAGAAAAATGAGTTCTATCCAGCATTTCTACATATCCTGACAAGCATCTTTTCTCCATGTTACCATTTATGTTAAAATGCTAATCATATAATTATAGTTGAATAAAAATTGGTCTATGTTAAGAATCCTGAGTAAAAGAAATAGATGGATATTTACAAATGTCAAAGTAGCGACAGCAATGTAATAGCAAAATAATAATAAACTTTAAAAAGAACATTATAAAAATAAATATACCGCTTTCTGCACTCAGATATCATATACTAAAACAAAATATTTCATAATTTAGAAATGAGTTATTATAATATAAATATGTACATGTTTTTAATATCACTATATTTTATATAGCGTATATTCTATACAGGATATATCTAAGATTAAACACCATCCTTTAGGCATCTTCGACAATCTACCAAAAAATTTTTTGAACAAAAGTTAATCAGTTTTCAATTCGCTACGCATTTGGATATTAAAGATTTCCAAAAAATTGTTGACTTCCTTAGATAGCACCATATATTTTGGACTTGACAGAATTATAATTGACATCAAGACGAATCTACGACCTACTGTACTATCACCTTGAGATGACTTTGAAATGAGCTGAAAATCAGAAATTTAGTAATAGTACATTGTAACGTGTAATGCAAAACGGTATGATTGTTATTGTTAGATTTGTTTAATTTATTAGTTTCTGAATGCAAAGTCATCTCAGAGTCATTGTATAGTAGACTGTTGAATTCATTTTGACGCAAACTACAACTCCATGAAATCCAAAACATATGGTACCCTTGACTTTTTTATTGGATAAAATTTTTGAAAATTTTTGAAAATTTTTAATATTCAAATGTGTAGTGAACCGAAAACTTACTAACTTTTGTTCAAAACATTTCTTTGACGAATTATTAGAAATATCTGAAAAATAGTGGTTAATCCTAGAGGACACAGCCTGTATATGCAAATATTTTGCCATAATTCAGAAATCAAATTAAAATTTGTTAAGAAACAAAAATCTATGTTTGTTTCAAAATCTTTCATTCAAAATCATAACACATTAGAAAGTAAACATATTTTATAATAATAATTAATAATATAACTATTAAGATCAAGTTCTTAATCTCCTTTGAAGTACGATTAAAGTTTTGGGCGGCATTATTTATTTATATTTCTTCCTTTCATCAAATTTGAATGTATAGATGTATTTATTATACGCTTCATGGAGAAAGCGAACAGATTTGTGTGAAATGGTAATATACTCTGACAAACATATAATAGTTTGTAGGACAATTACTTTTTGAACGATAATTTGGTTGTGTTTAGATAAATACTGCCAAATGTACTTTCTGCCCTTACTCTTAGATATCATATTCTACATCTAAATTATTTTTCTGACTATACCGAGACTTTATTTAAAGCTTTCTGTGGTTCCCATACCTACGTTATTTCGAATCCTGTCTGCTAATATTCGATAATCAAGAGCCTCATTGCTATAATTTAAATTACGTAATTATTTCAAAAGTATAGTTCTTTCATTTCAAAAAAATGCATTGTGCAAAAATTTTTTCATGATCTTGTGTTCAAAAGGATAAAGATGGCACCAGTTTTAGAATCATTGAACTGATTTTTCTTGAGTACATAAATTTCTCGATATTATACTTAAATAAATACAATAGGCAATAAGCGAGATATGAAAAGTACAAAGAGTATATAAATAATTCTGCAAAACCATACATTAATATTCCATCAAATTATATAAAATTACTGTTATAATACGTTAGGAAATGAATAAGTGTAGCAATATTCGAAGCATCGATATTATAAATATATTATTAAATAATATTGAAAAGTTATGTTCAGATATAAAAATTGTAAAAATATTTTTCAAATAGCCATATCGAAATAAATTTTAAAAGTGAACTAGCACTTTTATCAATCGAATACATATTCCATTTTTTTAGCAGTTTAGAAATTCTTTGAAAACAATTTGGAAACGTGAAATTGAATTGTCCTTGATTCTAAAGTCACTAGATTAAAATCATTCAAACTAACTACAATTCTCTTAAATAATTAAAATGCACTTGGTGCATCTTACTTTATGACCGTTATATATTTGGTCACGATCTTATTTTCTCCTGCTTATCAAGTAAATAACTGATCCATATCACATTAAATGCGACTTAAAAAATATAAGAAAAAAGAAGAATAAGCTATTCCTTAAGTAATTCTGAATTATGCTGTTTGTGCACTAATTGAAACAACGATTGCTCTTAACCAATAAAAGAAGTTGGTCCACTTTGCACTGAAAAATCGACGATACGATATAAAAGACACGAAATGATGACACTTTTACCAACTATCACATAAAATGCTGTCGGGAATGAAATAAAACGAGCATCAGAAATTGTGTATTACACATTAGTAGGTGGGTCCATAGCACAAATAATAGATTTCATTACACTAGCAGCAGCTAAGGACGCGTAAGGCTGCCATTCCTTTATACGAGAGCCATCTTTATAATCAGAAATACCTCGAATAACGGCAAAACTTTCACGACAATTACCCAAAATACTTTCGACTACAGCATCCATCTCTGCATCAAAGGCAAGGGCTCCAAATCGGGCTGCAAATTTCTGTCTAAGCTGATCATCGCGTGCAATATGTCTGCCAGATGCTACAGGTGCTAAGTGAATTCGTGGACAGCCATTTGTTCTGAACATAAAAGAACATAATGATAAATGTTGACAAAAGGGGACCTAGCATTAATGACCTTCATCTTGACATATATTATCAAGGACACTCACCTTAAGTGTGAATCTCCAGAAAGTTTTAATCGTCACTCGTTATTCCTCAAAAAGTTATTGGCAGAAATATATTACTACTACTATGTACATTGTATTCTGCCTATATGTAAATATACGTATGTGATTATAACCGACGCGATAGTCGCGTTTATATCCCAGTCTTTATTTGATAGAAACATCGTGTGCGTTGCTCGCTCGCTTGTAAAAATCTAATCCAACCCAATATCAATTCCACAGACAAAAGAGGCCCGATTTTTAACCAAAATTCTTCTTTCTTAAAAATTCCTTGCATATATGTAGAATTGAAATTGGGTTGGACTAGATTTTTACGATCGAGTAGAGCGAGCGCTCAACGCGTGTAGTATTTCTTTACTATACATTGCTTTTTATAAATTCTTTTTTGTTAGTAACCTTTTAAGAAATAACGAGCGGCGGTTAAAACCTTCCAGAGGCAACTCAGGGGAGTGTCCTTCACAGTATATGTTAAAGTTAAGTGCCCTTTGTCAACATTTACTATATTTGAAAAGGAAACACTGCTGAAGATTTTATAAGATTGTATAACTTTAAAAAAATATACATGTATAGTTACTTAGGTCATAATTATGATTATATGCTGAAAAATAATTATCTTATATACTAAAAATAACATATTAAACAGCAATAACCTTTTATTCGCCGCATCTGCAGGTGCAGTAGGATGTGCAACTTCAATAACATCTCTTTCGCCAATAGCCATGTATAACTTATCAGACTCTGGTGGAGGTGGTTTAAAATCATGCTCCGTCTGGTTAGTTAAAATATCTGAACCTTCCTTTAGGTACGTTTGCCATGGAGGATTTGTCTCATTCTCTGACTAGTAAGAATCATTAATAACTGTACTAGATTCTTGTTGCAAATTTAAGGACCTATGCAGACAAACGACTTTTTTCCGCGCGATATCGGCGCGATCATATGCCTGTCTTTGATGTTCGTAATTAGGAAAACAAAAAAAGACATATGATCCAACCATATCGCGCGGGCAAAAGTCGCTCGTCTGCATTAGGCGTAAAAGTGTAACAATCTACCTGATCTTTAAGATTAACAGCAATTTCTTGAAGACATAAATTTGGTGGGCAATATTCTTTGGTTTCAAAATGATAATCTCCACTCTCATTTGTCTTTGCACTTTCACAATAAACATAAATATACTTTTTATTAAGAGGAATAGGATAAGATATAACCACATCACCAAGTCGTACGTGTTTATTATAATCTGTATAATGTGGTACACCTCCTCCAATTCCAATTAAGAAAACGAAATCAACTTTCTGAAATGTACCTACAGAAAATGTAAAATATTTGATTATAATCAAGCATACCAATTATAACTAAACCAAGAACAATTTAAATGCTACCTAATAATCTGGTAGTTGTATTTCCTGCTGCAGTCATTGCTTCTCTTGTATGACCTACAGTGGGTAACTTTGTGCATACAATTCTGTGTGCACCAATATTACCTAATGTGTAAACATTTGACTCACCTATAACAAAAGTAATCTTATTTTGCATTGAAATAATCCTCTACCATTACTAATTTTAAAATATGTGTATGATACATGTGCACTGTGCTACTATTAAAAAACTGGTATTGTATTTGTGTATGTATGTTGTGACTAAATTGATTAAAAACGACTCATTCCATACAGATGCAATTGTGTTCAGTACCTATTACTGGATATAAATATAAGTAATTCGTATATTTATCAGTATATCAAATACAAGGACAGATTAAGAAGTTTCCGATATGAGAATATCAATAAGAAATAAAGCGAAAATAAACTCCTAGCGATGACACCAAAAACTTATCAACTTATCTTTATAATTTTTTTTTAGTTGAAAGAAGTGATAAATAACTATCATAACACATTTGTATTTGGTATAAAAAATATAGTTGTAAAACTTATCATTTAATTCCTACACACTCTTCCTATTTTTAGAAAAAGTTACTAATTGAACTAACATCCCACAAATAACTCAGTATTTTCCAAACATTTATATTCATCTAATCAATGTATGTGTAAACGTACATATAATAATAATTAAAAATGTATAATATATTGTTGCGTATTTAGTACTGGATTAATTAGATAATAATACACAGTAAAATGCATATATATATTACACATGTTAATATCATTATATTATAAACTTACTTATATATAAAAATTGTATTAAAAGCAACGGAAAATAACATTTAGTTTTGTAAGTGTTAACTAGTTATTTGTTTTAAAAATGGAAGTAATAATTCAAAGAAGTTAATACCAGTCTTAAGTAGAAGGAAATAAAATGATATAACAGTATCTTTTATACAAACAAAACACATAAACAAAAAACACATGAACAAAAGATATAACCTGTGATAGTTCTGAACCATACCCATTTAGTCCTAGTGCAGACGTGCCTCTTTCATTGTTATGATTGTGCTACAATCATATGCTTATCTTTACTGTTCTTAACAGTAATCCCAACATGGAATTCCAACCATGTCCTTAACAGGCACAGCAAAGAAGGACATGTGATTGCAGCAAGATCGCAACGGCAACAGTCGCATGTCTGCACTGGGCTTCAATATGTGTGTGCTATAAATTTAATTTAATTTGCTAATATTGCTGAGAAAGTAAATGGTTGAAGATGAAGACGTAATACATGAGGTGATAATCTGAATGAATTTCATTACAACACAGCAATATGGTATGTATATTGTTTCTGCGACATCGTCGAAGTAGTATTTTAATAAAAATATCTAATAATATGTATTTTTCACAGCATAGTGCCATTGAGACACTTCATTGCTTTGAATACAAGCAATTGGCAAGCTATAACGTTAAAGGACATTGACACGAAAGAGGAACTATATTACAAATTACTTTACCAAAACGACATGTCACTCGCGGTACTCCATCTGTCGCATCAGGTGAGCTTGCCGTACCTAAAGTTTCATGCATTGTCATATATATATATATATAGGCAGTACATTTTGTACCTTTACCGCCAACTAATATATGATACTATAATTATAATACCGTAATGCAAACTAGTTAATACAAATTCTTGAATACACTAAAAAGTTCCATAATTATACTTGAAATTCGAGATTTCTTATACATACGTTAATTTCCAAAAAAGATAAAGAGACCTTAAATAACGTAAAAAAACGTAAATAAAGTCTGCTTTGATCTTAAAATTTGACAATATCATTTCTTTATATTTAATCATTTAATATTAAAATATAAACAACAACCTGTATCTTGAAAATAAATTATCATATCATATTATTTTATATTCCTTCTGCCATATAATTGAAGATTAATTCATAAAATCTATGTGAATAATTATGAGTTATTAAATGAAATATATCTTACCAACAGTAGTATAACGAACAAATGTTTCTTTGTTTTCAATCATAGAATCAACTGCCAACTTTTCACAATACTGTGCAGTAATAATTGCTATAGTAGGTTGTTTTGCACTTGCCATTGTTGGCATTTGTTTTACGACCTAAGAAAAGGTAAGAAAAGAGATACAATAATTTTTCATATATAATGTCCAATAATTAATTACCACAAATAATTATACATAAAATAGTGCATTGACACTATACTATAAATTTACTGCAAAATAGTAAAAATAAAATTTACTTGAATTTGGGTATCTTGGTGTACAACTCTAGTAAAAGCTCCATGCTCCATCGCTTTAACAACACCCTTCTCTTGTAATTCTTTTAATTTTATTTCGACAGCAGAAGGATCCCAACCATGTTCTCTACAATAATTACCACACATTGTTTACAATTACATTAACATCTTTGTGCAAAAATAATTAATAAAATTCTTATAGTAAAGATCATACTTTGCTATATCAGTCACTGTAATTGGATTTGGGTAAGCAGATTCAATAAGTTCCAACACTTTTTCTAAAGTCAGTTCAACTACCTGACCAATAACTGTTTCATCTGTTGATACTGTCAAACAAAAAAATTAAATATTATCACATTCCATTAATATATTTCATGATTCTGCAAAATATATATAAATGCTCATTAAAAAGTAAATTATTTGTGATCAATTTTTCAGTTTTTTATAAATAAAATAAACTACAGCCTTTGTGTATCTACTTGTGTGTGCTAAACATATGTGACATCAAACTTAGAATAAAAATGTAATTCATATTACCAATACTTTTTGTAGAATTGATAACATAGAAATGAAGTGTAAAAATTTTATATGGTAGTAAGTGACCATGAATACTATTTATAAACACATTAATGTTATACTAAGATCAAAGTAACAATAAAGAGTATTGCATATGGTATAATAAAATCACTAATATGTATATGTTAAACTGTAAATAAATCTTCTGAAATGCTTAAAAAATATACTTTTTTACAAATAATAATGATATTTTAGACATAATAATTGATTATATTACTTTCAAATGTATAGTATTATTTTTTATCATTTAACTTAATTAGTTTTACATTGTGTTAAAATTTCGAATTAAACAAAATAACAATATTATGGCATTCATAATCATGCATTCATATTACAAACATGATATACTTCATGAATAAGATATGTACATATCTCTAATGGTGTATATCCAATTTTTCTTTTTAGTCAATCAATCCATATTTTATAGGAGAAGAAGCAAATTGAATAATCACAAATGATTGTTTTCATTATTAGGTAAAATAAACACTAAAATATATATTAAATGTTTAATATTGGATTAATGCGAAAAAATCATGTTAAGCCAATGTTGTTATAACTACTATATTGCATGAACCAATAAAATATGTATTTACCGGTCAATGTGCAGATAAACAGCTTTTATATATACTTATTTTTTCTAAAAGCTTTTGCACTATTTTTTCAACATACATATGTTTATCACTAGTTATCACTAATAAAGTAAATAGCAATAAATTCGATAAAATTAGAATAAAACTAAATAGATAAAGAAATTCTATGAGAAACTTTTCTTCAAGTTTTTGACCGGCAAATATTCAATTGTTATTGTATTTTATATAATAGCCTGCATATAAAATATCGAAAAACATAAATCGTAATAAAATATGTAATTTCTTCATAATCTCCAACCTGATTTCCAACTAATTTTCTTATATGGAAGAACTGTGAACAGTATATGACCAGTATCAGCTGTGAATAACAGAAATTAAAAGTAACACATTTATTTCATATAGAATGAACATGTACATATATACAAGTAACATGAGCAGCACAAATGTTAAATATACATTTCCTTTAGTTTCAGTTGTAATGTATACTTGAGACACACTGCTCCAATATCTTTCAATAAAGATCACTTAGTTCAATGAATCAAATCAAATAAATCTTGGTACTACTCTTTACTTCGAAGTTATTTTAATAATGTAAAAGAAGTATGTGTGTAAAATAATTTTCATGAATGATTAAATGAATATATCAGTAAATTTGTCTGAGAATAATTTTTTAATATTGAAATTAAACAATTAATACAGTTATGAAGTATGATATGTATATAAGTAATGATGTTTTCAACTAGAACACTTAGTTGTTACTTGTTAGCTTATATGATATCATTTACAAAGAAAAATATTACTTAAACTATACAAAAATTTAAATAAAACATAAATAAAATTAAAAAGATATTGTAAAATTAAAGAGAATTGTAATATTGTACTTACATGGTCTAGTTGGAAGATTAACAGGTTCTTCAAGCTGTTTTAATTCTACTTCTATCTTTTTAATTGTAGAATACTTATGCAACATTAGTTTCATTATTTTCTTGATAAATCCAACATAATCTGTAACAAACCCATATAGCTTACTGGAATTAAATATACTATAATTACATATTACTATAGTACTACTGAGAGAAATATCTGGTGACCCAATTGTACTATTGCAATATAAGTGCACAAAAAAAGTTTTTATATTAGAAAATATTTATTTGTATTTCATATTATTTTTTAATCATTTTATAGTTATAATAGTGTTCTCACTACCTGAAACAATAATCTATATATTCTTTCAGAATGATAATATAAAAATAGATTATTGTTGTTTACCAATATGTAATGCTTAACAAAATTAGAACTAACTTATACTTATATACTATAATAGATCAATATTCTATATATAAAAACTTGATGGTTTAATTGTAGATTATAGACAGTATTATAATTTATATGTTATCAACTACTTAAATAAATTTTACCTCTTGGAAATTCTTGAGGTGTAACTAATTCTCTGAAGAATTCTTGCGCTACACTTGGGTGTTCGGCTTCTGAAAGTGTATCTACAAACCAAAACTGAAGAGTTCTAGATTCTTGTGTATGTTTTCCACTTTGAGCACTCACTAAGAATACTCTGAATTGTAAGCAAAGATGTGCTGGATGAATTTCACCATTTGTAACTATAAAAATTTTATGATATAATATTACACTAATGTTGTAATATTGGTAATATTTTGTCTATTAACACTGTTTTTAATAATGATAGAACTTTATGTACCAGCAACTGCTTGTTTATTAATAACTATTCCTTTGTGATCTCCTCCAGCAATATGAACGTTGTTTTCATTTCCATTTTCTGTTGGGGGTTCTAAAGCCTGTCTTTCTATTATAAGAGTTGTAGAATTTGCAGTCTTACATTTTGGTGTCATGACAATGTGTTCTAATAAATGAAACATAGGAAAAGAGAATTTGAACAAAACTCATCAACACTTCACAATTATACATGACAAAGAAGTAGAATTATAGAAATCATATATTATTTTATTTAAATAAAAGAAATATATCAAAGTCAATATAAATTCTATAAATATACATATATGTTACCAGTTGTTCTTGTTACATATACAATTACATAAAAAAAACAGTTCGTTATATTAAATTGTAACGTTAAATTACATTTAATAAAAACTATTTGAAACAAAATCTTTATCTTTTATACACTGACCTGTTTTTTTATCATCCATTTCGAATCGTTCACTTTATCTGTTATCTGACACAAGCAATTTTTTTATAGCACTAAATAAATAATGGATAACAAGAACGCTTAAATCCAATAAAATATGCAAGCTACAGACTTGAACTAGTCCACTCAACTAACGACAACGTCGTTCTCTGCTGTTCGACTTTTTAATCGCCTCCTTTACCATCCCACCACGGGTATCGGAGCTCGCGCCTCGCGTCTGTCAAAACGAAAACCTTATATAACCTCAATCTCCTTATCCTATTTAGTCAACCTTCCTTTCTGTGGACGTAATAAAGACAGTCTTTAAAAGGTAATGTATAAGAGAAAAGATGAGCAAAATTCATTAACACAAGAAGTAGTTGATATTAAGTGATCGACTTGAATACTCAAAAGAATTATCGATCGAAATAATGACAAGACACAACACATGCCACCGCCCTGCACCATACTTATATTTAACTATGACATGACATGTATAATCTGTATTACAAATGCGTCATTTTTGTTTTTCTCAACACGAATATACTATCACTATGTATGTATGTATGTATGTATATGTATGTATATATATATATATATACACCATACCTGTAAAATATGACATACTACTTATATACTATATATGTGCATATAGCATATATATGTGTACATATACTATACACATATGCAGTTAGTCTTGAAAATATTCGGACGATAACTTTAATTTTTAAGTTCTTTATCAGAAATAGATGCAGATAAAACAACAAAAATGTTTTGCAGTATATTGGCATATAGTATATAGATATCATAGGTAAAAAACTTTTGACTTAAAACAAACTGTTGTCTCATGTTGAAAAGAAACTGAATTTGATATATTAAAAATATTCGGGCACTTCGTAAATTAATGTTAGAAAACTAACATAGTAATTTTTTATAAAAGTTTAATATTTTATTCAACAACATGTTTTAAGCAGTTTATTATGTTAAAAATTTTTTTTTAGTATTGGAACATAAATCAAAGACAAATGTACAATTACATTATATGTTATATGTGCTATTGTATTATATGTAATATGTACAAATATACAATACATTACAAATTTAAGTTACCAAACTAAGATAACAAGCTTTTTAACACATGTACGGCCATATGTGAGAATTAGTAAACAAGAACAATAGACACTAAACAAAAATGATAAATTCCTCTAACAAAGGAATAAAATACAGTATCGATTACTAATAAAAAAATAATCTTCAACATATTAAACTGTTTAAAACATATTATTAAACCAAAGGGGTATCGGATAAATTATTTGACTTTGATATAAAATTGCCACTTTAATATTTTTATCAATTTATAAGTGTCCGAATATTTTTGAGACATGAAAATTCACCTTTTTCAACATTTCTTTGAATGTTTGAACAACAAACTTGTTTTCAGTTAAAAGTTTCTTACTTTCTGACCTATACATATTATACTCAAATATACTGCAAAACGTTTTTATTGTTTTATCTTTTATTCAAAGGGTTTGGGGTTCGATATTTAATTGATTCACACAGATTAGTTTTGTATACTCTGTATTTCACCACCATGTACAGCCATTACAACACACCCGATACTCACGTAAAAAAAACACATGGCGAACGGGGAAACAGAAGAGAGTCGGAAATAGTCGTACCAACTCTGCACGCAGGAACTAGTGATCATACCAACATGACATTTATCTCAACACTTCCCTTTCATAGTTTATAGTTTCTGCAAACCCCATAGCTTTGGTAAAACACTGAGTCTTAATTCTATTTAAACCTTTGGTAAGGATATCTGCAACATTTTCAGAACTTGGCACATAAACATAATCTAAAATTCTTACACACAATTCTTAACATAGAAGTAACGAACTTGAACATGCTTAGAACTCTCAGCGACTATCTCATCCTTGGACCATGAAATAGCTACACTATTGTCACAGAAAAATTTGCATGGGCGGGGACAATATGACAATTGACCCAACTCCCTTAACAGTAAGGATATCTACACAGTCTCCCTTGCTGCCTCCTGCATTGCTACAAATTCTGCTTCATAATTCGACTGAGATATAATAGGCTACTTCTTCGACGACCAAGATATTGCACCATCAACAAGTATGAAAACATACCCACTTCTAGATTTTCTATTTACTGAACACCCTGCAAAATCTGAATCGCGAAACACTTTCAAAGGTTGGCCCTGTCTTCTCCATCTCCTTTCTCCCCTCGACACTGGTACGAAATGTGGCCCCATTTTCTACATTTGTAACATCTTTGATCACTTGTGTTTCTGCTCTTCGGCTTCGCGCCATCTTTGTTTTGGTACTGACCTGGGTTTCCATTGCCTTCTAGGTGCCAACGCGCTGCCTTGCTCGGACGACTCCGCAGCCGCATTAATACTTTTTTCTTCGAGTAGGAGGTCGGCCTTCACCGACCTCGAGGTCAGATTCTTATCCTCGACATAGGTCGGATAATCTTGATCTGTCGCAAGTCCAGTCAAAATAAAAGATGCCACAACGTTATCTTCAAATTTAATACCGGCTTTAGACAACTTGTCAAACAGAACTTGAATTTTCCCACAATACGCGAGGATATCCATGCTGAGAGTCTTCTCGATAGTGCCCAGTTCCCGCACGCACAAGGCAATGTCCATTGATGTGGATCTCCCATGGATCTCTTCCAGTGCTTTCCAGCAATCCTTCGCTGTTTTCAGGCCTCTAATGTCCGCGAGGTACTCAGGGCGAACGTGCCGGAAAATGTGTGCACGCGCCTTGTTTCCAGTTTGACGTACTCAGATCTCGCTCTTTCTGCTGCAGTCAATCCTGATCCACCGCATCCCAGCAGCCCAGGGAAACCATAGAAACTTCCGTCATCGTCTTCCAGTACTCATAGTTGTTCTTGTTGAGGATTGGATTCATGTTCTTGTCCATATCGCTCATCTTCTCCTGGTGGGTCATGGCGTGACCTTTTCTCTATTGACAGAAACAAAAATCGACAAATAAGTATCTTCAATAGCACAGTTCACCACCCTGGGCCCATAACCTGTTATTTAATAGGTTTGGGATTCGATATTTAATTGATTGACACAGATTAGTTTTGTATACTCTGTATTTCACCATCATGCACAGCCATTACAACACACCGAATACTCAGGTAAAAAAACACATGGCGAGCGGGAAAACAGAAGAGAGTCGTAAGTAGTCGTACCAACCCTGCATGTAGGAACTAATGATCATACCAACCTGACATTTATCTCAACATTATCTGTATTTATTTCTAATATAGGACATAGAAATCAAAGTTATGCTAATGTTCGAATATTTTCGAGATCAACTGTTTATGTGTGTACAAACAGTTCCTTTACTGATGGTAAATGTGGAAAGTATAGTTGCCATTATTGCTTAGATAAAATCTGAGTAAGCAACCTTCCTTTTTTTTTTTCTTTAATTTGTACTTTACAATTTGTTCAGCTGGATATTTGGTAAATAACCAATATTTAATACGAATTTAATTTTATAACTCTATGTATGCATTTATAATATTCGTCGTGTAACAATAATTTTCTTTACGATATAGTAATCTTATACATATAATCACAGCCTTGAACCATAAATGTATACATATATAATATTACTGTATTAACATATATTAATAAATATAGTAAATCTAACCTCAATATTTCTTTTTAATTTCATTCAGTGATATTTACAATTAATTCCTTTGTAGAAATGATCAATATTTGTACTTATATGTCATATGTCAAACATAATATTTAAAAATTAATAAAGATTTGGGTAAAAGTTTCTGAAAAAACTCTGAAGGCAATAATCTTTTTTTGTATATATATGTATATATATGTGTTATACTTATATGATAATTATATGTTAAATACATGTGCAATAATCCGTATTCATTTAATATTAATTGCAGTTAGACCTGGAATTAGAAATGGAAAACAAAAAAGTGTTTCACCAAATAATTTTTTTGTCACCACATGAAAAAGATTATTTAGTGTAAAATCTTTTTCTTTCTGATCTAGAGAATGACTAACACTATATCCTCTTGCATTATTCTTCTGGAAAAACCATAACTTTTTTTTTTAATTATTTTATTCTTGGTTTTCTTTCAATTGGTTGATTGGTTTTGTGTTTACAAGAAGTTAAAAAACACTTCATGAATCACACAATTGATATTGTAGAGAGGTATAATAACACAAAGTAACAATGTTACAATGAATATATAAGTGATACAAAACTGAGTACAACGAATTTATTATTTTCAAGGATATAAAAAATATAAAAAAAACCTTTGTGAGGCTTTGGAAGATAGTATATGATGTTGAGTTTTATGTATCACTTCATTAGTTGCAATACAATATTGTGTACTTGAATTAATGTGCATATTGTTAAAAACGTTCAATTTTGGTCATCACTGTAAAGAAATAAAATAAACTACTTAGGATCTATTCCTTTGTTTGCCTATATAAATATGTATGTATGTATAATTTGCATAAAATGTGCAAATTATATGTAGAGTAAATATAAATCTACATGAGAAAAATGTAAGTCGAAAATATAGAATAAGATTTTCTCATTTGAGGCTTGTTTTCGAGAAAACCGTCTTGAAATACTTGTTTGGTATATGTGAATTTGACTAGTTACCGACTAAATATGAGCTTCTATGAGTAAACAATCAGTACAAGGTTATTTTACGTGGCCTCGTTCTCAAGAAAATAGAGTTTGAATATATTTAGTTAAGAACTGGTTTGGTATACGCGTACTTAATCGATTCTTAAAGTTTACTTTTGCAGAAACGAAGCGTGTTATGAAAAAATGTTGGGTTAGATTTTTTACTTATTTTCACAAATAGAATAATCTATCAATCATAAATTTCAAATATATTTGACAAATTTTGGAAGTCGATTTCTTCGAAAACAAATTTAAACGTTATAATCGAAAAATTTTATTGTTATAATCGAATTTCGCGGATCTTGATAGTTGACCCATAGCACCGATAGAGAACGGTTAACATTCATTAGCAATCAAGCGGTGTACTTGGCATTAGCAGTATCGTATTGTTTTTGAATCATGATATTGCATTCATTATATTGTATTCTTATCCTTTTTTTAATATCATTATTATTGTCTGTACGCGAATAAATGCATTTTTTAATGTAACATCATTCCGTATCTTCGATCTTTTTTTCACATTGAAGCGCCTCCTTGCTGATTGTACCAACAACGATACCTCGATGCCTGTATAACGAAATTGTATTAAAAATAATGTATGGAAAGGCAGTTCGTATAAATTAAAATGTTGGTAAGATTTTTACGAACAAGAAAAGTTAACATTTATATGAATATGAAAAGTATATATGAAAATATTTGTTTCATAAAATATCGCTGATTTACAATGCAACTGTGACGCACAGGAAGTATGTTTTATGATTTATATTTTCTCTAGTCGTCTAAAGATGGCATTTGCCGAAGTTAACTGCCTCTATATTGCTCAATGGAAAACATTTCTTCCATTTTTAGCCCTGTTTCTTTCTCTCATACATTCTTTTTCTTTTTTCAAATTTTTATATTTTATATCTCATTCTCCATTTTATTATACTTATCCATAACAAGTATTAACTTATTATAAATAACTAGCCATGTTACTGCGCCACGCCAGAAAAATTACTGAAAATTCTCGACGCGAGAATTGATTGTAATTTTAATAAATAAAAAAAAAAAATTCTCCATTTTATCTTCCTCGTGCTATCAGTATACGGTTATCCTCACTACGGGTTAACTGTCTCCAAACACAGCTTTACTTCGATATTCTTATGAGAACCCAGTGGTTTCTGCGTGAGTAAAGCCAATTATTACCATATATAATAATTCTTTAGAAAAAACGGCATACCCGCTAGGACTCGAACCTGGGACATTTTGATAAACGATAACTGATCACGTTATCTACTCGGCATTGGTCCGCCTGCATAGAAAGTGATTATACATATGCATACAAATATTGCATACAAATAACTACTATTTGATGAACTTGGCTTTTTGTTTTGTGATATATGAACTAGGAGCGAAATGTGAAATCATCTGTACATGAAATGTACAACACTCTCGAATTTGTCTAATAATATAACACTCGTGAGTATCATGGTAAAAGAAACTAAAAATCGTTTCTCACTTTCCTCAAGTTCATTACGACCCGAGCATGTAGATGTGATGCGGAAAAAAGATTGTACAATTTGTAAAAGTTTGTTTAAATATCGAAATGTGAGATATATGAACTCATCCTAGCTAAAGTATGTAATATCTTGCCAAACGAATCATTCCCGAATAGATAAGTCTAACTCAAACTTAAGCGGCATCCAACGTACATCAAAGTCAAAATATTAAAAATATTTTCATATGTACATACATTTCGTACGTGTATCCGTCGCGAAAAGAAAATTTCGTTCCAGTCCCCGAGATATTCTTAAAAACTGTCGGTACGAAATTTCGGCATGATATTTTTAAAATAAAAAGCTTACGTTGTTATATTAGTGTTTCTTCACCGATAGGAAGGCGAAAGCAGCTCTTTCGAATGACCGTAATCTAATCAATGTTTATTTTTAATTACACTGCTCAATAGGTATCTAATTTTGCAACCTTCAATAGAATATTCTTGTAGATTTTTGCGAGCTAAACGCGAATCTGCAGTTTTTCCCCAGAACTTAATTAATTTTGAAAAAAATTATAAATTTTCAATTTTGGATATGTTTTGTGTTTTTACAGTAACAGCTATCGAGTTGCTATTGAGATGAAAAGATTCTGTGGACGCTCTGGAATAAAATGATATGTATCGTTATTGCACTATAAACATTTAAACATGTTTAAATAACAATCAAAGTAAAAATGACACCTGAAACGCACCAGTCTTTGCTTATATTTTTTAGTTTATTAGAAGAAAATCTAACTCTAATTTTTGCTAAGGAAAGCATAAAAAACTAGAAAATTATGTTTTGATTCTAATAAAAAAGCAAAACAGTTTAACAAAACACGCGGCGGCGGCGGCAGTAGCACTCAATATTGACGGATATTTTGCCTTATAACAAAATCGCAAAACGCGCACGACCGTTCTCACCGTTATTGAGTATCATTGCCACCATTGCGTGTTTTGCCACACTTTTCCGTTTTTATGTTAGACTCAAAACATGATTTTCTAATTTTTCTCGATGCTTTCCTTAGCAAAAATATCTGCTCTATCGCGTGTTAGACTAATCAAGCACTGTTTTGACTATTCTTAAAAAATGTTAGAAAGAGTAATGGGATGACTTTAGGATACGGTCAAACGTCCTTTATTTTCAGTTCCGTTAATTCCTCTATCTTCAGCAATTTATTTAGCAGGCCAACCTGCAGACCACATGCGCAAGTTAGAAAAACTGTATTTGTTAGAAGTTTGTCATTGTTGACTTTTTATATATTTACTTTCGCATGAAATGGTCGCTGCTGATTGGACTTATGAATTTTTCTTTTTCTACGTTAGTTTTTTTTTATGTCGGATTGTCATATGGAAGACTTACTATCCTTTTCCTTATCCCGACTGAGCACTCTTGTATCGTTTGTTAATCGATTAATATTATCTATCTAATCTACCTATTATCTATCTCGTATTATCTTAATCGATTGTTTTTTAATCGGTTGGCCTTGTCGTTGTGAAATAGCCAGCTAAGGAATCAGGTTAACATTAAGTTCCGTACTCGCACGAAAATACGATTTTTTCGAATAGTCTCACATCTATACATCCTCGCAGATCGTGTACAATGTTCACTTGCGTTGAATACACAATAAATTTGAAATGACCGCAAAAATAAAACCTTAATGAATTCATATTTCAATCTCACTCTGTAAAAAGAAAACTAAACGAAAATCCCGGATATTCTTTTTAATCATTCATAACTCGAAAATCC